TTTTAGCCCCGAGCGTTGTCTTGAATGCTTGATACTGTGCTGGCAGTCCATTGAGAGTATTGAAGATGATGTCCTCCTTATCAAGATGGCTGTCTGCTACGGAGATGTTATCTGCCAGGCCTTTCACCGTGGATAAGTATCTTTTCATAGACTAAGATTTCATGGTCAACGAGTGCAAATTGTTCTTCAATTGTCTGAGTCTAGATTGATTGGTATGTTGTAACCTCTTGGCGAGGGTAGACCATTCTTCTTTCGTAGTTGTGAGGTTGAGGACATAGGGAAGAATCATAGAAGAGATGGTGGATTAGAGGATTGCTGAGAGGTTTTGGTCAATTAGCAACCAAGTAGTGTTGTGTGGATTCAACGTTGGGGAGTTCACTGTGGAGAAATTGAATTGGGGAGGTGAGGGGATGCTGCCATCAAGGAATCTAAAGAACCCATTGGCTGAAAATATTTTGGTAATTTGAGCTTTCCTTAGGGGATTAATTATCTGCTGATAAGGGGTTTTGGGACAGACAATTGATAGTGCTCATGAGAAACTCAAGGGTTTAGAGGTATGTGTGTGAACTGGAGGGGAGTCAAGTGAAGAGTTGTTATGAGATTCAGATGCTTAGGCTTCTGCCATCTAGGGGTCATGAGATTTACCTTGCTGGAGGAGCTTGCGACTTGCCATCTAGGGGTCAGGAGATTTACCTTGCTGGAGGAGCTTGCGAACTACAGAGAAGATTGGATACTGCGCCTGACCAGCCTGCCATCTAGGGGTCATGAGATTTACCTTGCTGGAGGAGCTTGCGACCTACAGAGAAGATGGGATACTGCGCCTGACCAGCCGATCGCTGGTGGCGAACCTAGTTGACCAGATGAGAGAATCCGCCAAGGTTAGAGGACCTGCTCTGATACCATAATGTTTGGTGTAAGAAATGAGAAAGGCCGAAACAAAAACAGAGAAAGGTAAAAGGTAAAACTATATTTTTCTCAACATCACGGTAAAAGCAACTGTGCACATATTTGTTGTAGAAATGGATTTCTCTAGAATATAAAGGTAACATGCTGTCCGTCCCTCTCCCTTATTGTTTCCAGCACCCCATGGCCTTTGAGCCCTTCTACCTTGCAGCCGCCAGCCTTCCAGCTCTTTCACGTTGTTGCCGCCACCCCTATCCCTCTTTTCCCTCTCTGTTGAGGCCCCCAAACAGCAAACTGTTGTTGTTTGGACTGCCGCCCCTTGCTGTATTGCTGTTTTTGTTAATCAGGAAGGACGAAAATCAGACAGCTAAATTGAGAGTTTTCTATAATTTGGATCTTCCTTATTCAAATTATTTTCAATGTTTTTATTCTGATTTATTTCCCTTTTAGCTAAATATTTAGATTATGAATATGTATTATTAAGTTTTCTAAAATAGATTATGCACTTTATTTTGTAGCTAAAATAGATTGTAAGATTATTATTTAATGGAATGAAAGCAGGGAAAAGACATCGAGCCTATTCAGAATTCAGTCTATTTTCTTAAAAATTTGACATGCTTGCATCTTGTATCAGAGCTAAATTTTTGTCATAATCACAGATAATCATTGGAGGACCTTCAAGACTCTTCTCGCCGGCCTTCTTGCGGGAAGGGAAGGGAGGAACTATCTCTTTGCCTTGATTATCGCTCTTCAAATCTTTCCGGTTTGAATCTTTCTCGAGCCTTTGGGAATCGTTCGTTTTCATCTTCGAACTTATTCCATCTTCGCCTGCTCTCTGAACTCATCCTTTTCCTACTCAGACGAAAGGGCATCGTGCTGGAAGGATGTGTGTGCATTGATGGCGACATTGATCGAATCAATAAAACTTTTAAGATCATGACGAAGCCAATCCATATCAGAGAAATTGGATTAGACGTATCTGCGAAGTGATTTTCCCTCCATATCATCACAAATAATCTCAAACCTATCGCGCTCATCCTCGAAGCTATATGTCGATCCAAAGTCTGCCAACCTAAGCCGCCCTCACGATCCAACAACACGTTGTCCGGTTTCACGTCCCGGTGTGCAACTCCTCTCCAATGACAAATTGTCAATGCTTCCATAAGCGCCGTCATCACAACCACTGCATCCACCTCAATCATTGGCGCTCCCTCGATGGTCGCAATCTCGCAATCGGTTATCTCATATGCGATTCAAGTTTCATTCGTCATCAGCGATCTCGTCCGCTTCGGATCTTCTTTGCTAGCCATCGCTGCTTCTGCGGCATCTTCGACTGCTTCTTCCGTTTCAGCTTCGTACATTTTGACTTCGGCTTCTTTGTCCCACCCAAGGATTGAAGGCTTTGGCACTCCTTCCTAGGCCCACGACTTCGGTATCTCAGCTTCAACACTTTTGGCGTGAAGATCAGGGAACAAATAGTCCTCGTCATCGCTGTCGCAGGAAGAATCAATAACATTTGAATCGTATAACAAGATGTTTATCTTACTTGTGGGCTATGATCAGTTGCATTTGGATCAGGACACAGATCCTACTTGTAGGCTGTGTTTATCTTACTTGTGGGCTATGATCAGTTGCGTTTGGATCAGGACACAGATCCTATTTGTAGGCTATGATCAATAGCATATGGATCATGTAACTGGTTCCTATTTGTGGGCTATGATCAGTAGCATTTGGATGAGGACGCGAATCCTACTTGTAGGATCCTATTTGTGGGCTATGATCAGTAGCATTTAGATCAGGACACGGAAAGGACGCAGATCCTATTTGTAGGCTATGATCGATAGCATCTGGGTCGTTTAGCTGGATCCTATTTGTGGGCTATGATCAGTAGCATTTGGATCAGGACACGGATCCTATTTGTAGGCTATGATCGATAGCATTTGGATTATTTAATTTGGTTCTATTCTTGTGGCTATGATTCAAATTTCTAGACGACAATGATAAAGGATTTCTTGCTTTTCTTTGCTCAAATCATGTTATGGTTCATGAGTTGTTTTTGAGGTTTCGACATTCTCGACTTCGACACCTTCGCCTTCGGCACTCACGGCTTGAAAATTTTTTGGTCGCGACAGTATTATCAGTTTCTTGTTGTCAAATTGATGTTTTTTGATCAGTCAACATCAATTTGGTTATCAATTTCTTGTTGTCAAATTGATGTTTTCTGATCAATCAACATCAATTTTAGGGGGTGTGTCAATCAGGAAGGACGAAAATCAGACAACCAAATTGAGAGTTTTCTATAATTAGGATCTTCCTTATTTAAATTATTTTCAATGTCTTTATTCTGATTTATTTCCCTTTTAGCTGAAGATTTAGATTAGGAATATATATTATTAAGTTACCTAAAATAGATTATTCACTTTATTTTAGACCTAAAATAGATTGTAAGATTATTATTTAATGGAATGAAAGCAAAGGGAAAAGACATCGAGGCTATTCAGAATTCAGCCTATTTTTTCTCAAAACTTTGATAGTTTTAGCCACCCATAATCGTTGCCACCCCTCATCCACAGCACAGAAACCCCTTCCTGTTGACGTCGCCACCCTCCAACACCTCTTCCTACTCTTTCCAGCCACCTATTAGCACTCAGTCCACCTAGCCGATCTCCATCATCCTCTGGATCGACCTCTAGTTGAGTTTGTGTGTTGAGTATGTTGTTATTTCCCATTTCAGTATGTTGATTGTAATCTCCTATCTGCTTTCTACAATAATATTTTGCTTTTTCCTTATTGTTTGGGTTAACTTTGATATCAAGAAGTTATGAAACTGAGTTGAACTGTTGTAGAAAGAGAGGAATCCAAGTCAGAGGAAACATGTCTACCATAAGAAAACTCTTTTGAATTACCATTATTTTGATTAATAGACCTCTATGGCCCCCTTTCCATACAATTTCCCAATTTCCCTTCCATTCTTCAGCCGCTGCAGCCCTTCATTATGGGCTTATGTCATGGCGTAGAGAAATTGGCTACAAAGCAAATTTGGATCAATTGTTGATGCAAATGTGAATGATGAAACATAAAATTCTTTTTGCTACTTATTGAGATTATAAAATAAGAAATTATCTTCCTTTTAAAATATAGAAAAGTTTTTTAAGGCAGCTATGATAAATTATTTGTATTATGAAATTATAAAATTACATATACATTAAAAAAATTTACTTATGATTGAATGTGATTGTTTTTTAATATTATAGGTTAATATTCTCTATTGGATGTATTTTTTTTTATATATATATAAAGAGAAAAAACCATTAGGATTCGTTTAAAATTTTTTTATTGTTATTATTATGATAATTTCTTAATATTTCATTATTATCATACAAGTCCCTCTAGTTAGAAAAACAGAATGATTAGAACCCTAGTAATTTAAAGAAGTTTCAAAAATGTCCTTAATGTTTATAAATAAAGGAATGTTTATATTTTTATCATACAAGTCCCTCTAGCTAGAAAAACAGAATGATTAGAACCCTAGTAATTTAAAGAAGTTTCAAAAATGTTCTTAATGTTTATAAATAAAGGAATGTTTATATTTTTGAAATGTTTTATCTTCCCTTTTCTATGAATATTTTCAGTTTTGATGATCTAACCTTTTTGTTTTAGGGCCATTTACATACATACCACCCAATTCCTATGTATTTACGTGTCTAATGCCAAAACTTTACTTTTTTTACATTTATACCATCCAAATCTTTCATATCACACCAAATATAGCGTCATTTTAACTTTTAAAAAGTGAAATTTATCTTTTCATGCATAAGTAAGGCGGTATATGCATAAAAATTGAAGTTTTAGTGTTAGATATGTAAATAAGTGTTAGATATGTAAATACGATATGTAAATACATTAGAATTGAGTTGTAGTAAACCGTCCTTTGCTTTTCTCTCGAAGTAAAAGCTGAGTTGCATGCATCTCTCTCTGTCATTTTGTATGTTTGTGTGATTGCCAGGGTAAATCCTAGAGCTCCACATTGTGCTTTCATTTTCACGGCATTTTATAAGTTTTATACACATTTTTCTGACTTGTTAATTTATTTACAGGCTGATGTCGATGGGAATGGGACTATCGACTATATAGAATTTATTACTGCTACAATGCACATGAACCGGATGGAAAAGGAAGAACATTTGTACAAAGCTTTTGAATATTTTGACAAGGATAGGAGTGGGTATGCATCGCCTGAGAAAATTTTACTAAATTCTATTTTGCAGAAACTCTCTTTGTGCTTCATCAGTCATTCATTCTTAACTCCATTTGCGCAGATATATCACTATGGAGGAGCTGGAGCAAGCTCTGACAAAATACAACATGGGTGATGCCAAGACAATTAAAGAGATTTTAGCAGAAGTTGACACTGATCATGTAAGCTTATTTATACTTCATATTATTATATATGCCCATATATTTGAAGATATATTTTATAGGATTTAATGAGTAGTTGAAATGTTGAAATAACTGACTTGTTCTTGCAGAATTTTAGTATTATTTCTATTTATTTTTTGTTCTCATTTGTTAATTCCATGACGTAAAAAAGACATCCCTTGTGATTTTTCTGCTGTAGGTGATGAGTATCATCAGAATATGGCTGCTAAAGCCACTGTACCAATTCTAACTTGATAAAATTGTAGAAAATAAAAGAAGAGAAAAAAAAATTCATACATATCAAACATTTCTTATGAATTTACATATCAAACACCTAAATTATAATTTTTAAATTTGTAACACTCAAATATCTCATATCACATAAACATACATTTTCATGCATAGATAAAGTGTTATAAATATAACTAAGATTTACATACATACAACTGGATTCCTATGTATTTTATATATTTAACTCTTGAACTTTGATTTGTACATATATGCCATCTTACCCATCCATGAAAAGCTGTACTTCATTTTTCTCAAGTTAAAATATTGGCATTTTTTGATGTGACATGAGATTTGAGTGTTACAAGTGTAAAAAAGTGAAGTTTAGGCGTTAGATATGTAAATATATAGAAATTGGGCGGGCATGTAAATAAATGCCCCCATAAAAAAGCTTGACCGAAGAAAATACTTATTAATGGGTTTTTCTTCCCCTCTGTATCATTAACTTGCTACTGTTTTTAATAGGATGGGAGAATCAACTATGATGAGTTTGTAGCCATGATGAGAAAAGGAAATCCAGACATTGGTCCACCAAGACGGCGCAAATAAACATTATTTTTTAAAAAAATTGGATTTTTATCTTTTTATTTTTTATTTTTTTATGCTGGTTTGTCTGTGCTCTCGAATTTTAAAATTGGATTTTTATCTTTTTTTTTTATTTATTTTTTTATGCTGGTTTGTCTGTGCTCTCGAAGGGATTTTGTGTTTTCCATCATGCAAAATTCTCTGCAAGGGAAAATATTTACGTACATAAGACGTACGCAGCGCTGCGTATGTTAGGGGAAGGGTACAGGGGGGTTATATATGGGTTATATCCCCCTGTAACCTCCGTGTAACTCCCTTGTAACTTCCGTGTAACTTATTTGTACCCATGAAACTACAGAAGCGTGGAACTCATTTCTATGTTACAGATAGTTTACAAAGAGGTTACAGTGGGGTTACAGAGGGGTATAACTCCGATATAATTCTCTTGTACCTCCTGAATAACCCCTGGACGTCCTATGTAGAGAGATCTTTCCCTCTTTGTATTCATTTAAGATATCCCTTTACAGGACTTCAGTGTTGTATTCTAAGCTTTTGTTTTCTTTTATTAACGGAAATTTACATCCATGCCACGCTCAATTATTTCAGAGGCATTTTGAAGCCTTGCCTACTTTGGTAGCAACCAGACGACCACATGTATTCTTAAATTTTATAGACAAGTATCAATTGATATTATCCAACAACTTGCTCCAAATGCACCCATTTTTCTCTTGCCATCCACCCAGTAGTTAATATATATTTCTAGACTCCATAGTCTGCAAACATTCATCAACATTCTACACATAATCTATTATACCTCATATATCTTTAACCCTTTTTTTTTTTTTTTTGATAGACATGCACTTAAACCTCCAATAACTATAATTTAGCTGTGATATGTGCTTGTGCCAAAGTTGCTAGTCCAATTTTGTAGAAATAAACACACATGCACAATTAAACCATGCATTTATTCAAATTTATTATAACATATAATTCAGGTTGTACACCCCTAAAATATTATTTACACCACATACTTTCATGTTGTTTAGATATCTGAACTGTGATGTAATTTTGGCATTCTTAAAATTTTTATTAGTATTGTTGTAAGTATTTTTTACTATATTATAGTATCTAGGGGTGGACCTCACTTCTAAAAAATATTGTGGTATTTACGTGCCTATAATTATTATATTTTTTATATTTACAACTCGAGCATTCATATTAACATGCATAACGCTCAAATATTTGATATTGTATAAAAATGTCACTTATTAATTTTCATAAATAAAATATATCTTTTTATGCATAAATTTATAGCACTATGTCACGGACAAATAGTCCCATATCGATTAGGTGTAGAGCCGAAAAATATTATTTAAGTCTTGGGCTGTCCACCTCTCTTAAAGGGTCTTTTGGGAGGTGTTAAGTGATATCAGAGCAGATTAGTCTGCCAGGTGTATAAATTCTTCATGATCCAGTAGGATCTTTGATGGAGCCGATCCGTGACGAGGGTGTCGCGTGATTGGGTGGAGGAGAATATCACGTACAAATAATCCCACATCGACTAGGTGTAGGGCCGAAAACAACATTTTAAGTCCTTTGTTGTTCATCTCTCTTATGGACTCTTTTGGGAGGTGAACTAGCCTGCTACAAATACAAATATTAATCTGTTGTTGTTAGATATATAAAAATATAAAACTTTTGTGTGTGCGTAAATTTAAAAAAATATATATATGGCCAATAAAAATCTAATATCCTCGTATCCAGATCAGGGCGTTGGGCGGGCCGTGCTTGACTAGTTAAAATGGTTTAGGCCCGGTTCCTATTTCTAAAAGAATAAGCATGCTGCTCAGGATATAGGCCGGGCCGAGCCGGCACACAAGCTTTAAAATCATAGAAAACAGAATATGAATGGTTGATTGCCTGTTACCAAGCCCGCCCAGATCTACTCGCATCCTTCCACTTGCACGTTAGCATTTACAGAATGCTGTTTGCTGGTCTTAGCCGCAGCTAATCTTCCTCGCTCCTAGTCCACTCCGTTCATCTCCAGCTTCTCAAGCCTGAGTTGCCGCTATCTCCCCTTCAACAACAGAAACCTTTATTGACTACTCCTTACTCTCCTGCCTCCTCTTCTCTCTGTCATCGCGGGCTATGCTGATTTCAGCGGCGGCGCTGAGAGATAATGGGGGATTAGAGTTTCCTCCACCGTCAAACTTTAGGGTTTCCCTGGCTGCCGTACTTTTCTCGCCATGTCTACTGCAGGACGCTGCCTCGCTCGAGGGCCGCTGACTCCGCGGCTTCTTCCCTCTCTGTTTAGGCTGTCAAGAAAAGATTGCTGCCTGCCAGCGAAAGCTCGGAGCTTTCATCTTCTCCACGCCATATCGCCCCGTGAAGAATCGAAGAAGGTTTCTTTACTTCATTCTTTCTGTCTGAATGTTGATACGATATGCATGTTTTTCGTTTTCTTATTGTTGTTTTTCATGTAGAAATGGAGGGTGGGTCTTGTCTCCTGCTTCAAAAATGATGAGAAGTCCACTTCGAATGATGATGGATTTGAATTTGTGGAGATCAGGTCGGATCGAGAATTGGATAAGCCTATGTTAGATCCTTTGGAAAATGAGGAAAAACATTGGATTATTGTCATTCAGAAGGTAAAGTTATCCATCTTGTTCTGTTTTATGGAGTTTCAGATCTGCCACATCTCTTTTGATTTTGTATCTTGAATGTTTATATTTGTAATACATTTGTAATTCTTTCTTGGTCAGTTTGCTTGATATTCCTCTGCTGGAAAATGTGTTTGTGAACGTTTTGCATGTGCTTGTCAACATGGCATCTGGTAAAATTAGTCTGGTAACGGATTTAAGCGGGATTTCACTTAAATCTGCTAGACAGAAAAAATGGGCAAATTTTAAACCCTGGATTTAGTAAATCTAGTTTCTTCTCAATCCCTGTTTGTTTTGTATTAAATCCAGGATTTACTAAATCCTGGTGCTGGCAGGATTTAGTAAATCCTTCTTTACAAGATGTACCAAAGCTGTTACTGGATAGCTCCTCTTATTCAGGTTTTGACTTTTAGGGGCAATTTGGGCATTCAAACCTCAACATTGGTGATGCAAGGAGACATCTTATGCTTTATCAGTAACTAGGTGCATGAAGATTTTGTCATATGTCGAACTAAATTAAATTATTTAAATGTTAGATTCAATGATAATCATTGAGCATATTATGTCGGCCAGGATAAAAATAAGAGCATTGATGCATTAAATAGAGTTTCTATGTTACATACCTTAAAGGCCTATCATATAGATTGTGCTATTTTTAAGGACTTTTAATGGAAAATATAATGCATTAAATAACTAGTCATTTATTTTTAGTAAAGAGTTTAATTTTAAAGATGGCCTCATTTTTAAGAGCTTATTTATTGATTTCTTATTCATCTTAAGGATTCCCTTATTTTTGAATGACATGTTGGTGGATTTAAAGTCCTTTATTACGAATAAATATTTTTAACTAAGTTTAAACATAGACTCTGTGTGAAATGATTTTATAGTTCCAAACTTATTGAACATCCAAGGCAAAATTAATTAATATTAGATCATACACGCCTTCACCAACCGTTATAAATGTTGGGGACATGTTCATTATATTTCATGTTAGCACAACCTTAAACTTTAGGAAATTTAATTTTATGTTTATCACATTAGATTGATTTTCTAAAATAGCTTACTTTATTTTATGGTTTAAAATTGTTAATGACTCACATTTAACTAAAATTTATTTTCACCATTATCATTACCCTTATCCCAACTATTTGGGTTGACATTATAAATATTTTTTTATTCATTTTTATTGAGTTGACTTGTTAAATTTATTCTTGACAGATTATTTTGAGAATGTAATCTTAGATTTATCAAATATTCTTCCTAAGTATATCCACATGACGTCAGTCAATATAATCATTCAATAGCTGACCCTTCTTAATTTTTCCAAACATTCACTTTAACAATTCTCATCTTCGTAGATTTCTTAGATTTTCTTAAGCTAGCTTGCAAATAATTTGATTTCTTGGATCTTTCAAAAAGCCTTATATTCCTTTAAATCACAGGCGAATCAAACATCTCATGTGGCTGCGATGAAACCAAATGTCTATAGTTATGACTTTGAAGAACTTGCAAAAGACCTTTCTTGACCTTGAGGAAGAAGGAAGTTGAGTGGGGTGGTAAATTAAGGAAAATGGGAACTATGCTTTAAGATTTATTAACTTACTCTTACAAATGAATTATACATTAAGGTTATAATGTTTGGCATAACTTGAGAGCAGCCAAGACAAACCGATATTTCAGTATAGTTTTTTTAAGCTTGGGCTAGACTCATTTTACTTTTAGGCCTAAAGATTAGGCTTGAGCTTGTCTCAAGCTCGAGCTTTTTTTTCCTTCACTTTAATTATTTATGGGCTGAGTGGATTGAGCTTATGCCATTCCAGCTAAATTAAATTGACTACTTATAATTAAGCTTTTAATGGTGGGTTGCTAATCAACCCTTAGTAGAGTAGACTAGACCCCTATTTGGAGTTATATGACTTTTAGAGTGTCACCTCCCTTTATACAATGGATATAACTTTCTAGGGAACCATTCTAATTTATTAAGGGAAAGTACAAAAGACAATCATGCAACTCTTATATCCTATAAAATGTGTAAAAGAAAAATATGTTCGTAGACCTCTTTGTCTGTGATGCCCACTAATTAATTAAGTGATAAAAGGCCTGCTATCTTAATGATGAACATACTCCATATATAACCGAGTGACATGCTTAAAATATATAAAAGAAATAAAAATATAAACAAATATTCAAATATATTATAATCCCTCATTATTGAGAGTTCTCACCCACTGCCTTTTCACTAATAACTTCCAAGGGGCACTATAATCAAAATGACCTAAAGCTCACAAAAAAGCTAAGGTCATATTGATGCGCTAACAATGATTGTATTGAAAATTCTCTTGTAAGAAAAAATTAGAACTTTTGATTTGAGTTGTCATGCTTAAAATATGCTTCTGAACTACCACCTAGATCACAGACCCTCTAGTGGCCATATTTAAAATTCTAACCTGTATTTTGGCAATTTTTCTAATGCATGTTTCCCTTTATCAGTCAATGTCGGCCACAAAAGGTATGGACCACACACACACACACACACACACACACACACACACACACACACACACACACACACACACACACACACACACACACACACACACACACACACACACACACACACACACACACACACACACACACACACACACACACACTACTTAATCAAGATCATAAAAATTCACATTAGGTACACATCTGAAGCTAGGTGTGCTTTCAAAGGCAACCACTAATAACTTAATAGTGGTCTGTTTAGACGATACTATTCATTATTTTTCATGAGGTAATTAATGTCCTTAATAATAATCTAAATAGAGGCAAATTATTCCTGGTTAGGTATATAAAATAAAATCATTAAAGGGTTTTTCATGATAACTTTTGATGCAGAATGTCTTAGGATGCAAGGCTTTCCTAATGCATATCTAAAAATGAGAAGCACAAATACGTTAAAAAGGTAAAAAATCAGAGTCCATTTACTATAAGAAAAACGTTATCATTTTTATACAAAATACACCTGCTAACTTTGATAACTTTGGATGCAGAATGTCTTAGCATGTAAGGCTTTCCTAATGCATATCTAAAGATGAGAAGCACAAATACGTTAAAAAGGTAAAAAATCACAGTCCATTTGCTATAAGAAAAACTTTATCTTTTTTATACAGAATCAGAAGACACCTGCTAACTTTGCTCAATATAGTTATATTAATACAACCAAAATTTGAAAGTCCTTAAAAATAATGTCTCATTCAAGATACCATAAAAATAAAAATTGATTTGAAATAATCTTAATTGTATACACAAAAACCAATTACAAATTATATGAATGTAAAGGAACGAATAAAATTTATGAAATACCAGTACTTATTTTAGTACGTGGACGAAACCTTTTTCGGAAAGTTATTGTAAGTATTGGTGATGCGCTCGAATAATTCACGTCCAATGGTATACACAAGCATATTTATGAGGAATTTGGCAATGCTGAATTTTTAAACATTTGAGGGTCCTAAAAAAAAGAAAAAAAAAATCCCATGGCAAGTAGTTTTCTCAAAATCCTCATAATCTATCCTAAAATTGTGAAATTTGTGAGTAGACCAGTATATATTATTGATAGGAGGGTTATTTAAACCTAATTACAACAGACACAACAAAGGAAAGAAAAAAACAAAATAAAATAAAGTATGAAAATATAATGATTGAATAAAAGTAATAAAAGATAATAATAAGAATAACAACTACGAATTTGTTGTTATAAATCTAATACATTCCCTCAAGTTGAAGCATAGATGTCAGTCATGTTCAACCTGAATTTAAAGTCATCGAACAAAGAATGAGGAAGTTTCTTGGTGAGGATATCTACTAGTTGACTACTGGAAGGTACGAAATGAACACAAATTTTCTCGGACTCTATCTTTTTTTTTAATGAAGTGTGTCAATTTCTACATATTTGGTGTGATCATACTGGTCTGGATTGTGAGCAATGCTGATGGAGGCCTTAGTATCACAGAATAGCTGTAACGGGACAGAGGTTGACATACAAAATTCGCGGAGCATGACACATAACCAAAGAGCTTCATAGATCCTCAAGGATATGAACCAAAATTCAGCTTCAGCACTGCTCCGGGAAACCACAGATTATTTTTTGGTTTTTAACGTGATAAGATTTTCCCATACAAATGAGCAATACCCCGAGGTGGAACGTTGATCTTGAACCGACCCAACCCAATCAGCATCTGTATTAACAACAATAGACCGAGATATGTAATGAGAGAAGAATAAATCTGAGTCGATGTACCTTTTAAATAGTGGAGAATTCATTGGATAACTTGGAGATGGTGCTTATAAGGTTTATGCATGAATTGACTCGCTATACCAATCATGTGACCTATGTTAGGGCGAGTATGGGCGAGTTAGATGAGTTTCCCAACAAAGTGCCGGTATTGAGTCTTGTTGACAGCACAACATTGAGAATTTCAACTAATTGAGATGCTAAGAAGTACCGAAGAGATCCTAATTTTTTCATTTCAAAGGACTTAGCAAGAATGTCTTTCAAGGACGCCAATGTTGGGAGATTGTTACCTATAATATCAATATCTTCAATATAGACAATAAGGATAGCTACCTGCCATTGAAGGAATGCTTAAAGAAGAGAGTGTGATCTGATTGAGCTTGAGTAAAACTATGACCCATGACCACCTTTGTGAACTTGTTGAACCAGACATTTGAGGTCTGCTTTAGCCCATAGAGGGACTTTCACAGCCTGAACACTTGCCCTAACCAGATATTTGAGGCTATTACAAATTTTTATTTTTTTGAAAAAGTGAGACCACAACTAGAAAGCTGCCACCACACCTAATTAAGTGCGGTGTGAAAACGTTGTTTTCAACATTTTGAAAACACATAAGTTGTTAAAACGCACTTTCCCCAAACAGGTCTGGTGTGTTTTCAAAATGTCACCGCAGAAAATAAGCTGCCTCAAACAAGTCTCCTTAGAG